CTCAATACAAATTAGTAAACTAAATGTGAAATTGTAGTCCATCACAGGAGTGAGCTTGGAGCAGTGACTACTTTACAACACATACAGGGACCATAGGGAACAAAAGTAGCCACCCTCCAGAAGGAAGGACAGTGTCAGTATGAATTCAGAGATGATTTGAGGATCTACAGCCGAGTGATACACAAATAAGGTACATTTTTGCTAATAGGGTACTTGAATGCAATTTAAGATTTAACCTTCCTGGCGGTATTCCCGAGTGTAGCTCGGGGTTACTTTTCTATACAGTAAGCGGTAACCCAGAGCTACACTCGGGAATGCCGTATATCATTACTTACCTTGTCCCTTGAGCCGCGCTGTGTTCTTCGGCTGACGCCGGCATCAGTCTTCCGGGTTCCGTCCCTTGCCAACGTACGCGTCGCAGGGGGGCGGAACCGGCGGGATATTAGAAAAAACGGAAAAAAATAGACTGAAAAAAGAAACGAAAAAAAAAATATCATACCGCCAGGGAGGTTAACTCCTGACACACACTGATGTGTGTCAATGATCCCACAATTCCACAGCTCCGCCAGCAGAGTGGTGAGGAGGAGGGGTAGATTTTTGCCAGTTTCTGTGGCGTGTAGTACCATTTATGCAATAGTTTCTGTTGGGATTCCCAGTGGCTTAGACATTGCGAAGTTTTCAGAGGCCAAGTGACTGCTTTGTACCATTGTTCTGGAGAGAGAGAAAAGTTTAGTTCCGTTTCACACCACCTCATGGATGGCAATTTATCAGTAGTTTTTGGTTCACTAAGTAGATTATAAAAAAAAGGGAATACCTTTCTTGGATGGGGAATTAGTACCATAGTAGTGCATGCATCTCCTAAGAAGCGTTCCATCGCGCACACATATAGAGGCCAGATAGTGTCTTATTCTGAGGTATTTATAGAAGTCGCGAGCCGGAAGAGAGTATCTCTGACATAGAGCATCAAATGGCAGCAGGCGGTCATTGTCATACAGACTGGCTATATATGAGACCCCCAAACTTGTCCAGTTGGACAAATGTATGTCTGGAAGGATGAGATCAAGAGTTGTTAGCGGTAACAATCTGAGTATAGATTTGTTATGGGATTGAGTTGGGGACTCAAGGGCATGCCAGACTCTCAAGGTCGCAGTCACAGTGTCTAAGAAAGATTTAGTGGGAGAACTATTTAGTAGGGAAGAACAAAGCAGAAGATTGAGGTCCGTAGTTAAGGAATCCCGTTCTATTTGAGACCATAATTTGTCTGGACGGGGAGTCCACCAGTATTTAGTCTGGTCCAGTAGGTTAGCTTTATAATATTTGGCAATCTCAAGGGCACACATACCTGCATAGGCTGTGGGTGTACACAGTATTGATCTTGAGATTCTAGGTTTCTTCCCATTCCAGATAAAGGTATCAATAGTGCTCTGGAGTTTCCTTAAATAGGAGGGTAGGAGGGGTATGGGAAGAGCCCGAAACAAGTATAACATATGGGGGAGAACAAACATTTTGACCAGATTAATTCTACCCGCCCATGACACAGTGGAACGGTTCAGATCTTTGCAAAGGTCCGAAATCTTTAGCAGGAGTGGGTTAAAGTTAAGCTTAAAAAGGTTAGAACTAGGGGCTGATAGGATGATACCTAGGTATTGAAGGGTATTAGTGGGGGCCCAGACGAAAGGGGCTATGGAGCTAATGATACGTCTAATGGTAGTCGGGACATTTATAGCTAGCATTTGGGATTTGGAATGATTAATTTTATAGAGGGAAGCTGTACTAAATCTTGCCAGGATCTCTTGGACTGCTGGAAGGGAATGTACAGGATCAGTCATGGTAATAATCACGTCATCTGCATAAAGCCCAATTTTGTGCATGCACTTGCCCACAGACACTCCACTGATGGCAGGGCTGTCGCGGATAGCAGCAGCCAGAGGCTCCATGACCAATGCGAAGATCAGCGGGGACAGGGGACATCCCTGTCGCGTACCATTGGTAATATGAAATGGAGCAGACAAGAGCCCAGAGGTCCTTACTCTCACACTGGGATGTGAATATAGGGCTTCAATAGCAGAGCCCAAAAAACCTGTATTACCAAATTTCAACAACACGGCCCGAAGATATTCCCAATGCACCCTATCGAAAGCCTTCTCTGCATCCAAAGAGAGGAGCAGAGAAGGTTTCTTAGAGTGTTCTAAAAATTGCAATAGATCAACCATACGTCTGGTGCCGTCTGGCGCTTGCCGCCCGTAGACAAAGCCCACTTGGTCAGAGTGGATTAGATCAGTGTCTCCTGGGGGCGTGGTCTGGCCACGATCGAGTATGGCTGCCTGATCTGAGTGCTGCATCACAGGACCTCTCAGATTAGCAACTTACAGCATATAAAACAGCAAATCACTCGTCGGATTTACTCCCCTAGGTACCGCACCTGCTCCAGCCATGATAAAAAGCAAAGACAAGGCTAAGGGACCTAAGAAGCTGACAGACTTCTATCCACGGCCTGAACGGGGGATCAATCAAAATGGCTCCTTCACCTCACGGCCCTCAGAAACACAGTGCAGTACAATCCCGGATATGGAGCTTAGCTGCAGACAGGAAGGCACTCATGGAAGGGATCTCCCTAAGCGACCAGCGAACTCACCCTTAAGCTCGCCACGAACCACGGGAACAGTGATTAAGAGGCAATCTACAGCCCCAGGCCCCTCAGTTTCAGTTACCTCAGGAGTCATGGTTACCTCAGGAGTCACAGTTACCTCAGGAGGCACAGTCCCATTACAAGATGTCCCTGCCACTGACACCCCTGCATCAGAATCGTGTATAAAACACATGCTGCTGTCCCTGCGCTCAGAATTTCAGCATGATCTCCAATCCTCACTTTCTGGCCTGCAATCTCAAATTTCTGAATTGGGCTCCCGCACAGATAAAGTGGAATCGTACTTTAATGATTATGCAGCCGCTCATAACGATCTGATAGCGATGTTGTGGAAGGAGGCGGCATCCCTGCGTAGTGATATTCTATGTGTACAGGAGACCCACTTTTGTAAAGATAAACCCCCTATCTGTAAAAACAGATACTTCTCGCACTATTTTTTTGCCCATTCGGAAAAAAAAACCAGCAATTCTAAAGCAGACTCATATGAATTACGCTAAAAGTAGCCATGACCAATCGAGACCATGCAGAACTGAGGTTTTTGTTGTTTCCTAGGCCGCATAGGGGAGTAGGCCCCACTTTATATTTACACAATTGTGTGTGTGTATGTCTGTATGTGTATAAATAAAATGTGTGCTTGTTCACAAATGTGGTAATTATGAGCAGTGGCGTCACGCGGGGGGGGTGACTGATGGTCATTTTGGTGTCACCCCCTCTAAAAAGTCGGGCACTTGGTCATGGACTGAGAGCCCGGCAGTGTCAGGAGAGAGGAGGGGACCCGGCGGCATACCTCATCCTGCCGGGTGAACGTCCCCTCCTCTCTGTCCCCAGCAGGCATCAATCAGATGACCGCGCATGTGCGATGGCGTCACATGCATGCACGATGACGTCACGGCGGGTGCCACCCGGTCTCCGCTCTGGGTGGCACCCGGCCTTGGGACGCCCCTGATTATGAGAGTGCAGGATGATAATAGTCATAATTGTGTATATGGAATGCATGATGCGATGACTATTATAGCAAAAATGGACATAGTAGGGAATAGAGAACACAAAATCTGACATATGTAGCAGGGAGTATTACTACAGATTCCACTGTAAAACAGCACTATTGAAAGGAAGGATATTATGAAACATTTATCAAACTAGGGCATCAATGAGTGCAGGATGTCCCTATAAAATGTCCTTAAAATGCCTTGAAATGTATGAGTAAGAAATCTTATGTTGAAATTTCAGAGCTGCTGAGTAACTCTTTCTTCGGGCTACCAGGTCAGTTGGGGTACATACCTTTGAATGCCTGCCCTGGTAGGGAGTGCTTCCCCTAATCACTACATGGTAACTACATCACTGTGTTGTGATGCAGTCCCGCACTAGCCATCCCATCCAGTCATTGAAATGATTAGAGACAGAATCATACCAAAAGTTGTGGACTCAAATCAGTGCCACGTGTGCAAGCAAACCTCAGCTCAAGTCCAAACCATCAGAACTGAAGCCACACTCTGATGTTTATACAATTTTTAATATCTTTATTATTCCATGTGGTATTCACACCCCACCATACTTCTCTTCTAAAGCTGATTCTAATTACAGAGACAATATAGTTCTGTGTTAGAGTGAAATTTGTCAGACTTTGAGAGACTGGAGTCTGTTGTACAGCTTCTGTTTGTTGCATGGACTATACTAACATTTCATTAGGAATTATACAGTTAAAGTGTATGTGTAGCCAAAACTGTTTTTTTGTTTGTGTGTTTTTAGTTTTGGGTAGAGTAGGAAAGGGTTAAAACCTCTGCCAGCTGTGTACCATTGTGGGAATTCCTAGTCACTTCCTGTGCCAGAAGTGCAACAGGAACTTAGGCAAAATTTCTCAAAGTGAGAGGAACTTCCCTCCTAGAGAGTTGTCCCCGAACAGTTGTTCTGAGCACAACTCTAAAATCTTGGATTTCCCCTCGCTTCCTTTGAAGATTACAATGGTCACCAGTTTAAATAGAAAAGGCGTGTCTTCCCATTGGAAACACGAACAGAAATAAAAACTTGATTCTAACCCTTCCCCACTTTATCTCAAACTAAAAAATAATTTTGCCTATACATACTTTAAGTTGTGAAACATGTTCTAATGTACTCATATTTTCACATACTTTTCATTAAGGAGGGTAACACTTATAAAGGTGGACTATGATCCAAAAGTCAATTATTACTCAGATTATTTTTGGAATTTTCAAGCAACATGGTTTGGTGTGTTTCAAAATTCACTTTACACATCCTAACCTATAATATGGTGTATGCATGGCAGTAGCTGCTCAGTAAAAGAATAGTTAAATATATATAGAAATAAAAATACAAAAAGACTCTGCAGCCAGTAACACATAGTAAACTGTATTGATGTAAATCTGTTGTCTAGACTATTAAGTTTACACCTGATGTGAGTATTTTGGAAGTTGGAAGGAATGTTTCACTTTTTCTCCAGAAAGCCCTTTTAATCCTTGGTTTCCTGCAAGTCACACATGGTCCTTGCATCAGAGCACTGAGCCTAAGGAACATATGGAGGCGGCTTCTCAACAGGTAACACCATGTTAGTAGAGTCATACTGTGAATGTAGATTTGAAGCCAATGCATTCATAGAGTTGGAGTGGGATGGATGCTGGATGTCATCTGATAATGAGATATCTGCAGAGGAAGTAGCTGGATACGAACCTGAAGGCTGTGAAATGGTAACAACATTTTTTTTTTAACATGCTTGTACACACAATATTATTATTAAATACACAAGCTATTTACAAAGCCTAAAATACAGCAAAAAAAAAGAGCCCTGGGGTGGAGTGGTTTATGGTTCAATTTAATAGTAAGTTGGGCCGGAAGGTTTTTTTGCCCAAACATTAATTTTACTTCAGTTATATTGTAGTTCATAATATTTAGAGCTACAAAGTAGCAACATTACAGTTAAGCTTATTAATAATCTAAATGTAATATATATTGGTTTTGTATATATATTACTTTCATTTATTATGATCAGAAATAAATTGTCTTTCTTTGAAAGTGAAATATTGTGTGTAAATATTTTGTACTTTCATATTCAACCAGCAGGTGGAGCTCTCAGCTCTTTTTCCTGTTTGCCAGGGATTTCTTAGCCCCTCTTCTTTTTAAGGAGCCTATTGTTTATGGAGCTTAATAGCTAAAGCTGTAATTTTCATGCAAAGGTAACTGAGATACTTTATCCCCCTCGTTCCCCCCAGCACCCTTTAATACAACTTCATCCCATATTTTAATCAGAAAAGGGAATACCTTGCAGAAATGGACACCAAGGATTAGGAGAATGGGATTATTGGCTAGGCATATTAGATTTCGCAGAAGGGATAAAAAAACAGAATGCAATGATTTGCAAATCTCATAAACCAGAAAATAGAAGACATATCAAATGTTTAAACTGAGAAAATTTACTATTTTAAGAAAAAAATTGAAATTGATGGAAGCAACTCGTCTCAAAAAAGTTGGGTAAGTGTCAAGTTTACTACGGTGTAGCATTCCCTCTTCTTTTAACAACATCTGGGAACTGAGGTTTTGGGAGAGGAATGTTCTCCAATTCTTGCCTGATATATTCTAACTGCTCAACAGTCCTGGGTCTTTGTCGTATTTTGATGCCGAAATATTTTCAACTGGGGAAAGGTGTGGACTGCAGGCAGGCCAGTTAAGCACCCGGTCTCTTCTACTACGAAGCCATGCTGTTGTCCTAGATGCAGTATGCGGTTTAGCATTGTCCTCAAATATAAAAGGCCTTTCCTGAAAAAGACGTCTGGATTGGAGCATATGCTGCTCTAAAATCTGGATATATCTTTCAGCTTTGATGGTGCCTTTCCAGCTGTGCAAGCTGCCCATTCCATACGCAACAATGCACCACCATGCCATCAAAGATGCAGGCTTTTAAACTGAGCGCTGATAGCACATTGGAAGGTCCCTCTCCTCTTTAGTTTCTAGGCCGCAGAGCCCGTGGTTGCCAAAAATGTCACATTTCGATTCGTCTGACCACAGAACAGTTTTCCACTTTGCAACAGACCATTTTAAATAAGCTTTGACCCAGAGAAGTTGGCAGCGTTTCTGGATCATGTTCAGATATGACTTCTTCTTTGCATAATAGAGCTGTAACTTGCAATTTTGGATGGCATGGCGAGCTGTGTTCACAGACAGTGATTTTTGGAAGTATTCCTGAGCCAATGCAGTGATGTCCATCACAGAATCATGCCTGTTTTTAATGCAGTGCCGTCTGAGGGCCCGAAGATCACGGGCATCAATATTGTGTTTCGACCTTGTCCCTTGCACACGCAAATTTCTCCAGATTCTCTGAATCTTCTGATGATATTATGTACTGTAGATGATGATATATTTAAAGTCTTTACAATTTTATGTTGAGGAACATTATTCTGAAATTGTTCAACAGTTTTTAGATGTGGCTTTTAACAGATTGGTGAACCTCTGCCCATCTGTACTTCTGAGACACTCTGACTCTCTAAGATGGTCTTTTTATACCAAATTATATTACTGACCTGTTGCCAATTAACCTAATTAGATGCAAAATGTTCTTCCAGCTCTTCCTTGTTAGTACCACTTACTTTGCCAGCTTTTTGTTGTCCTGCCCCAACTTTTTTGAGATGTGTTGCTACCATCAGTTTCAAAATTACCTAATTTTTTTGCAAATGGTATATTTTCTAAGTTTAAACATTTTATATGTTTTCTATTTTCTATTGTGAATAAAATATGGCTTTATGAGATTTGCAAATCATTGCATTCTGTTTTTATGTAGATTTTACACAGCGTTCCAACACTTTTGGAATTGGGGTTGTACAAATTGTCTCACTGAAACTTTAGACAGCAGCATTTGAGAGAGAAGAGATGTCAGTGCTCTGACTAATTCGCTTGTGTGTGGAAATTTCATTCTTGAGCTCTAAAAGGCGTAGGCTTTTCTTTGCAGGCGTTTAGGAGAAACTGAAAACCTCACCTGCTTGTAGAGGATGAGGATGTATAATAGTAACCACTTGAGGACTTTGCGCATAGGAGATGCACCCTAAAAATGTTTTCAGTGGTGTATCTCCTACGCCCAATTCCTCTTCCCCTGCCATCTCTCCCCTGTTGCTATGACTGGCAATTACCAGCTGCCAAAATGACAGCCAGAAATTGCTATATATCACAAAGCAGGTGAGGCTGTCAAAATACAGTGGCTCCTGTGTAAATATTGTATATGATATTATGTGTGACTTGTGATCTGCATATGACATCAGTTAAATAAACTTTAAAAAATTTAAAAAAGTTAATGAAATATTCCTTTTTAACCAGTTGTTAACCCTTAGTTAACGCTAATCAGTTTTAATTGACTCCTTCTTCTCCTTCTCCCCTTAGCTATTATTTTTCTGCTGATTTTTTTATATTTCTTTTTTTTTAAATATTTAGACTTCTGTTTTAATTTTTATTTGTTTATTTTTTTCATTTTCACATTAAAAAATTAAGCAGTTTCATTTATTCATGTGCAAGTTTGCCACGCTTTTTAACAGAAACATAATTTTAGCTTAATTTTTAAAAAGTATACATTTTATAGAATAAAATGTATACTTTTTATTTACAGTAGCACTACATTTAAAAAAACCATACATAATAAATGCATTTCTATCAAAAAGCAATGTATATAATTTTTTATGTTATTATTGACAAAGTTATTGCCGAATAAATGGGCGCATAGTGGAAAGCTTAAAACAGTGTTAATTTTGATAGCAAATTTCGATTCAGTTTTAGTCAAAGTCTTTTGACTAAAATGCCATTTAGTTTTAGTCATAGTTTAGTCATCTGAATTGTTTTAGTTTTAGTTTACTAAACATCACAAGATTTTAGTTTTAGTCATATTTTAGTCATCTGAATTATTTTAGTTTTAGTCTAGTTTTAGTCAACTAAATATCATAAGATTTTAGTTGACTAAATCTACGGTAAATTTAGCCTACTAAAAGCTATTGGGTTTAGTTAGTCATTTAGGAATTTCTCTAGATTTTCCAATCGATTATGTACTCCTGGAGGAAACATATGTTAACCTGTTATCACTTATGGTATTAATGTTTGAACAGGGTTAATAACTGGTTAAAAAGGAATACATTTTAACTGTTGTGATATACAGGATAACATGTCTTTATTTATCTTAAAATTAGATTGAACCAAGTCTTATAAAGAAACAATAATATTGAGTATTTTCACAAAGGACCAATAATTAAATATGCATTGATTATAACAACTTGCATATGACATTCTTCATTCTTTCAAACAGTGCAACTCTAAAATATGAAAATTAAAAACTATGCTGGCTGTAATGCCATTGCCCATATTACCTATTAGCCATTAATTCAAGATGGAACTGGAAGTCCAAAGAGATTATTTTTGATTGGATCTCTTCCCAAATCGTCTCTCCCTAACATTTTAGTCTAGTTTTAGTTAGTTGACTAAAATGTCAATATATTTTCGGTATAGTTTTAGTCATCATAACAGTTTTTATTTAGTTTCATTTTAGTCACTGAAAAAGTGTTGTTGAAAAAAAATTAACACTGGATTAAAGTTACTCGATCCATATGGGGTATAAAATATGAGAACCAAAGTGGTTAATATGCAATATTTCACATATCAAAAAAAAATATTTTTTGTTGTTCTAACCATAGTAATAGAAATACAAAACCACTATACATTCCTTTGAAATATCCAGTTTACATTCTTTGTATAAGTACACTTTATGTATTTGAAGACAACCAGGCTGCTCGAAATCAACACCATGAAAAGAGTTCAATAAAATGAATGAACAGTCAAACTAAAATTAATTGTTTAATGGGCAACTATAACATCAGAAAGCTGCTTTTTAGATCTGACTGGTAGAGAAGGGCATTGATTTGAGGTTACCTGCAGTGGTAGTGGATATGACGCATAGGAAGGTAGGGAGGATGATGGAGAGCAGAAACCAGTATAGGTCAGGATCTGTTGTGCTGGATTGTAGAGTATCTGTGGAGGAGGCGAGTTAAAGTTGTGTTGTGAAATTGGTGCCTAGAGGAGAAACATAACATAGAATTTTATATAATAGTATATTTCACCTTGCTGTGTTTTACAGGCAACATTGACTGGAATAAGACGTTTGCTAGAAAAAAAAAACCAGTCTGTATTGCTCCAGAATAACCAGTCATATTCAGACATATTCAAAAGAATGTGAAAAGCTCATGACATAGCTTCGACCGTGGCTCCCTACAATCACCTCTCACCCTAGTTATATACAAATCATAAGAAACATATGAAAAAATAAGGGTTTATAGAGAGGTAGGAGACCAATGCATGGATAAAATATATAAAAATGTATTGGACATAAAATAAATAATATAAAATGTATACAATTCAGGCAATTATCCACTCCAGACACTGCATGTGTGTGATAAGTACCGGATGCCTATTCTGGGTGGGGCTACTCACCTGCTTGGATAATTGCCTGAATGCGTTTTCTCATTCTACGCAAAGCTTGATGATTGATATGTGTTATTGCTCTAATATGTAAAGAGATTAATTTTATGTACAATTTCCATTGTTAGATTAGAATTTGTTGGCCCCTGAAGAAGCTCTTTGTGAAACGCGTTGGAACGAAACATTTCAGATTTACATACTTGGATGTTACACCAAATGAAATTGCTTGGAATCTCAGTTGCTAACTAGACATACTTGATTGAGGTTGTATTTTTCTGGGCACATGCTCTTTTAAGCTGTTGTGGTGGGATTGTACATTTTCATGAATTTATGTCCAATACATTTTGATATATTTTATCCAAGCATTGGTCTCATACCTCTCTATAAACTCTTATTTTTTCATATGTTTTTTCTATTCAAAAGAATGAGTTGTGTGAAACTTTGCATCCGATGGGCTGTTTTAGGGCAACACAGGCATTCCTTATTTGTGCCATACTGGACAATTGTGCAAGGTATACAAACATCCTCCACACACCAAACAATCTCTTTATTGAAGACCTTTATTAATTCACTGTCAATATGTAAAGTGATGTTTCTGGCCGCACGCAGTCACAGTTGCCATCTGAAGGGGATTGAGTGTCGCCCTAAAAGGTCACGTTGCATATTGATGGTGAATCAATAAAAAACCTTTAGTAAAAAGATTCTCTGGTGTGTGACGGATGTTTACCTTGCATCTGTGGACTAGTACAATCCTTGAGCACCTATAAACTTTGTTTTTATCACAATATGGGGCGTGGCTGGATCTTTACTATACTACCGGAAAACAAAACAATATGTTTTTTGAAGAATACAAGTAACTTCAGCCACCACTTACCGGGAAAGTTCAGGGTATTTCTAGTGAGCACATACTGAGGTATTATTATAGGGTTTACCGCAAAGTGTTTTTAAATCTCATTTACGTGTTTAAATGCTACTTCTTGGATATTTGTGTTATTGCATTAAATAACACTGCCTCTGTGTTTAACAATGGTTCACATATCATCCACATAAGGAGTGCATTGTTTTAGGTTGCTCCCAGCATGATATTATTAACTAAAATGTAATGTAACCTTGTAATGTTCTCTTTATCCATGTATAGTATATGGAAAACCCTACTTTATTATACACATAGTTTGTATTACCGTGTGATAACGGCAATGCACACAGTACACTTTTTCTTTCTTTTAGACAAAGCTGGATAGTGTACAGCTTAATATCCAGATCTCGTAAGAAAAAATTCCTACCATATCCTTGAAGGCTCCAAGGACAGCCGCTGTGACACTGCCAAGGAAGAGGCCCACAATATTCAGGACGGTGCAGGTCCACAGCAGCCGGTATAAGTGAACCACATCCTGGCAACTATTTACGCCAACAAATTCATAGAAGCTGCCAGACTGTTCTGAACTGCCAAGTAAAAAAAAAAACACTTGTCGGTTTACATCTAAGATGTTAATGATTTAACAAAATATATCCAAGAGACATGTCACCCCATCTCCCTCTGCTATAATGTTTTAACACGATTCTTGCCATTAATTTTCTTCTATACAATATTATGCGTAGACTCTTGGGTGCTTTATAGCTGTATATGGTGACACCATATAACCTCGCTGTAACCCCGCTCAATGCAATCAATGCAGCAGAGGTTTTCTTAACCCGACAGGTAAATGACAGAGCAGTAAGTCCTGGGTCATCAGGGAGGCAGGGATAGCGTGTTACCTGCCTCCCTGATGACCCAGGACTTACTGCTCTGTCATTTACAGGTGAAACTTGAATAATTAGAATATCGTGCAAAGTTCATTTATTTCACTAATGCAACTTAAAAGGTGAAACTAATATATGAGATCGACTCATTACATGCAAAGCAAGATAGTCCAGGCCGTGATTTGTCATAATTGTGATGATTATGGCTTACAGCTCATGAAAACCCCAAGAACCCCAAATCCACAACCTCAAAAAAGTAGAATATTACATGCAATCGATAAAACAAGGATTGTAAATAGAACAATATCGGACCTCTGAAAAGTACAAGCATGCATATGTACTCAGTACTTGGTTTGGGCCCCTTTTGCAGCACTTACTGCAATTACTTTTGCACGATATTCTAATTATTCGAGTTTCACCTGTACCTGTCGGGTTAAGAAAACCTCTGCTGCATTGATTGCATTGAGCGGGGTTACAGCGAGGTACAGCGCACAACAGCACTGAAGTACCGGCTTTAAATTTGGGATCGAGCGGAGCCCACTTTTGAACTGCAGTCAGGCTTACAATACAACGCCGCTCTGGACGCACTGCCCTTGGAATATAATCAGTCCCTGTGTCAACGTGCGGCCGCACTCACAAGGGAAAACTTTGGGCTGTCTCTCACCTATGAAGTGAGAGGTGTAGCTCTGCCGGGCAATATTTGTCCAGGATCTATCAAAAAGAAAAAAGCTGTGGAAATCTTCAGAAATTATAGCAAACATCTACTAGGATTACAATCTACTACATGAATACCTCCGATTGTGGCACTATCCTGGCATCTATTACCTAATCACGGATGGACTCTCTCTCTCACTGTGGCCACAGATGAATAAGTGAGTAACTTTGCTACACATCGATATAATTGTATCCACTGTTGCTACACAGTGTGTTTGCTTACATCAGTGACTGCCTGTTATCCTGCCAATACATTAACCCTAACCATCCTGTCCTTTATTTGGGCCATCTCAGGGAGGCTGAGTTTCTGTTTTTAAACACATTTTAATGTCATGTATGAGGTGATTTATCTTTATACTGGTTGATGCTCTAATAAAATATGTTTTGATACTTATACTATTTAAATTACTTGCTCACTGGATCGCTCCATTAATGGGATTTCCATATTAAGGGGATTGTGCTTTTGAATACGAATTTTGAAACCCAGGAGCTTAGTCCACATAATCTGTTTATTTTTTGCGTTACTCCTTTCCCCAGTGTGTATGCAAAGAGAAAATACTCTTGCATAGTGAACAGCCTAGTTGCCTTTAGTAAAGCAAACCCACTATGTAGGGTGAAACAACGTGATCCACTGAAACAGAAACAGCTATGTAGGGGAGCATAAAACTTGGCAAGGGCACAGTGATGTTGCGGTAGATGTCATAGTCTTGCATTATGGCAGAAAATAGCCTACTGACAAGACACAAGGAGGTCATGCTGCAAGGTTTGTCCTAAGAAGACAGGTGTTTCCAAATGTGGTTTCACAGCTCTATTACAACAGCACAAATGGACAAATTTGAGGGTGGAAAAACGCTTTCAAGTCTAATCTTCCACTTTTCCCAGCATGAATCAACTTTATTGTTCAGTCTCACTAATACTTAATTAATTTTCCTGTTAAGGGTGAGTAATATTACAGTGAAACTCCTAGCAAACTGCTAAGTACACAGTTGAAAAATGTTTACTGTTTTACCTACCAAAGGATTTGTAATTTTGACCAGCCATTCTTGAGATACACCTCTGCTATGTCAAAAAGAATACTCTGCTACTTCCTGGTTGAGCATCACTGCTTCCTAGGCCAGCTCACTGAACAGAAGTGATGATGTTTATTCACTGCCCAATGAGAAAGCTAGAAGCAGAGAAGTGACCCAGGAAGATGATTTGCTGAATCCGAAACATTAATTGATTAATTCAGGAGCTACATGTGTCACCTGTCTGTCTGTGCAGCATGAAAAGTGTGTAAATCACAAGAACACTACAACATTTTGGTTGTCTTAATATTTGTGCTTCATACCTGCAAGATTCTACTGCTTCTAGTTCTTCATTCAGTTTTAGAATTTGTCAATTTCTGCGAAACATTGCATTGCTTTCATACTTAATAATAATAATTGCCATTTTCTACATTAGTTCTACAAAGTTAAAGTTTAGGGTTAAAAATAATTAGGCTCTATCAGTCCATTCCCATCCAGACAAAAAAAATACTGCTTGTCTTGTTTTCTCTGGTCTGGATGCACTGGAACACATGAAAACGGATGCAAAGGCACTGGACTGCACCTGAAAGCCAATTTTTAGCTAAAAAGAAAATTGCGGCAAAAACGCAGTGCACTGTGTTTGCAGATCTGCTCCAGAACAAGCCCCTATATCTATTCCTGTGACTTCAAATGGCCTTTAATATCAAATCGCTCTACCTTTTTTCCAGATTTTGCAAAATAAATATAGCCCATGGGTCATAGTTTTAAAACTGAACTCTTCAGAGTAACTTATAGTTTAGAAAAACAAGAAACTTTTACTAAAGCTGACCTCCAGGCAAATCATTACAAACACAATTTAATCCAGTTTTGTATTCGTTAAAAAACAATTGTAAATTTTAAATATATGTTTTATATATATCTAGTGTAAGTACCTGGATTTGTCTTGATTTTAGATTTAAGAATAAGGAAGAGACAATAATGAACCCATCAAGTTCTGAGTGCAGATTGAGGACTTCATTAGTATTATGAGTATGCTGCTGCCCTTCATTGTCCAAATAGTGGCTGTCCATGTCCCAGACTGGGCTATATTGCTCAACTTGCATATGATGTACTGGAAGGTCTGGGAGCCGGATATATGGCAGGTTAGGTTGGCCTGAACGATAAGTAAAACCGTTCATGTTTGTCTGGAGTTCAGCTTTTAGCATATGCTCCGTGACAGCAGGCATAAATGCACAATAAGAAAAAAAAGATCCTATTACATACTTTTCACAGTCATAGAGATCACAACAGTAGCATGTATGAGTCCTAATTCTCAGATGACATTGACTGCTTGAAGTGGAGCATGTTACCTGTACCGTATAGTGAAAAGAAGAAAGAAAAGCTTATTTGCTCATGATACCTTTGAAATTAATACAAATATCACTGTTGTGTCATTTTTTTTTACAAATGCCTGTTTCCTGGCAAATAAAAATGTACAAAATAAAAGCCTGTTCATTTCTCCAGCATCTGTCACCTGGCCAATAATACTGCTTATGAAAGACATGATTCCGCAGAGCTACTAATTATTGTTTGCAACATTTTACAGTATTAACTAGGGATGCACCAATACTGATACTAGTATCTGTATTGGTGCCGGGAACTGAGTATTTGGCTGAGTACTCATGCTTGCCCAAATGCTCCAATATGTGCCCCTGATACTGGAACTTCCAGTCAGAAGGAGATTTCCTCTGACCGGCAGGGCCGCTAGGGAACATGGAGCAGGCTTCCTGGTCAATCAGGAAGGTGGGCAGCGGGTAATGACTGACCAACCGGTCAAACAGCCGGCTTGATGTTGATGGGCTGGGAAGCCAGCTTCCCAGCCAACCAGCATTGAACCAGCCAAACAGAATGGGGTTGCTTTCCCGGGCACCCGGGTGGCAGGTAATGACACGGCTCAATGCTAAAGGAATAAACAGTACCTGCACTTGGTATCAGCAAGTACCGAACGAAAAATATCAATACTCGTACTCAATACCAAAAAAAAGGTTTTGGTGCATCGCTACTATTAACAATATTCCATTTAAAGATACTATAATTAAGCTCACAAGGGAAAATAATGATTTTAAACACAGTTATATTGTTTCCATTTACAATTAAGAAAACACAGGAATTATTACTTGTTTTATTTCCTGACTATCACTGAAAATAATTTTGGCTTTATACTTTATAATGAAGGGGGAAGATGTGTTAAAAATGATCCAGGTGTCAAATATGCTAGTTATATCGAAGCTAGCCGAAGGATCGGCCGAAGCTACGGCCAGATCCTTCGGCAGCTTTGTGAATAGACCCCTTAGTGTCATTTCCTTGCAGGCATTCCCTAAGACATAACATTTATTTCAAAGCCTGAAAGTTAAAATGAACACCATTCACTTTAGGCCATATAAGAGTCCCACACCACAATTAAAGCCCACATATGGGATATACTGGTATGTGCCAGTATTGTAATATATTACTTAAATGGCTATTTTTGTGGATGGAATGATTGTATTAAGATTTTCTAGCACAGTATGAGGCACTGTGTGTGCACAAGCTATGGTTTCCAACCTTGTACTAGTTTAATTAGGTATCAAAGGGCACACATTTCAAGTACTTGTTTTCAGGGTTAATAGAATATATTTTTTGTAAACAATATTTGCAATAGGATTAGTTAGCTAAAACAATAAGCATTAAAATAGCTCTAGTACATTTTAAAAACATTTCTGTCCATTTATGTGCTTGTAAAAACACACATTCAGGTTCTTAAAACAATCTACCAAACAAAAGCCTTAGAACATAATTTTTATATGCAAAGCAGTTAGAGAGGTTTTGTTTAGACAACACATATCAAAACTGCTGAATCAGGTATGGTCACAAATGTTTCAAACCCCCTTGGTTATCACAAGTATATGTGCAATATTATGTGCAATAAAAAAAAAAAATCATATGTACTCTGCAACACATGCACATTTCTCCATGTTTTGTATCTTAAAAAATACTGTAAAAAAAATCCTGTTGCTATGCCTGAAATCTAGTGAGTTCATAACTGCCTGTTGTGGGATGACAATGTCATATCCGCTGCACTGAAATTCCAAGCAGTGTTATCAGCCCTATCTGAGTACTCCTCTTGTGGATCTCATTACTGCAACAAGAGGGGCGGGTTCTGTAGTCCAGCGGGGGAGAACTCAGACATGGATGACAACATATTGCTTGGTATTTCGGTACAGCAGAAGAACTGTGTTGTCAGATCAAGCAGGGGGTTAGGAACTCACTGGATTTCTGGCAGAATCAACAGGTCTTTTTCTGTACTTGCAGCATTTGAAAGGGATAAAACATGGGAAAATGTGCATGTATTGCAGAGAAGTACTGCATATGTTTTTTTTTTATTTTGCCTTACATAAACTTTAAGTAACCCCAGAGTTAACAAAACAAAACACTGCACACATGCAGATGAACAGTTGTTGCATTGACAAGGCTGTATGTATATTAGTATATTCTTTTTTAACAGCATTGCTTTTTTATTGATGTAGACTTACTTGTGTCTGTTGTGTGTCATAAGCAAGTCCTGATCCACTTGCATAGAAATTACATCTCCCATTATACAAAGGTCTTGGTTCCTAAAAAGAATGGCACATTTTAAATCTGGAGCAGATTTGCACTGCAATCAATCAGTTTCTCTGTCTCATTTTTTTAAAGTCAGCACTTTTAAAGGGTGCTGTGACTAAAAAGGTTGAGAAACGCTGCTATAGACATCCAAAAAGAAAAAGAAAAATAATGTGGGACTCTTTAGGTATAAAATGATACTCCAATATGATTATTGTTAAAATAGTCAATGTTATTAATATCCACTTAAAATATATTATAATAAAATATTGATGTGCTTCATCATAAATGCAAATGTACAATAAAAATAATAATTAATAAATATATACTGTATATCCACATTAGTTCAACTTGTGATTAGGAGGGAATAAAGGCTTATGATGATGTAATATAGATATTAAGTTGTTGGATGAAGGTGAAGTAATTGAGGAAATCAATATTTTATTATAATATATTTTAAGTGCCTATTAAAAAAAATTATATATTTTTTTACACTAATGAAACAGGAGAACACATTTGTACCTGAAAAGCCCCACATTATGTTGCTTTTACCTTTTGGTTGTCTAATATACAGTACATTATTGTCCTGTCTGACACATCCAAGCTGTAAAAAGACAGTAGAGGGTGTTCCACTTTTTGTTATTCTAAGAACATTTTAAATGAAACTACAAACTTTCTGGTTTATACTCACTGACCTCTGTAGCTGCAAGAACTGTGGAGCAGTTAATTCTCAAAGTTCATAGCACTGTATATTTCAAATTGTGCTTTTAACTCAGCTCACCCAGCTCTCCCCTTTCAGAGCACTAGCTCTGTGTTTACATTAGCGATTAGAAGGCTTGGAGGCTGCCAACTCACTGCTGGAAGGGGGGTGCAGGGGAAGCTGAGCTGCTGAGAGAATGACTTGAAACGTTTTAAAGCTACTGCTGTGAACCCTGAGAATGAATTGCTTCACAGTGCCTTTAGCAAGAAAGGTCAGTGAGGGCTGATTTTCAAAGCTCAATTAATGTTTAGGAATATGCAAAAAAAAGGGAACGTCCATAGTCTGACCCCAGTTATACCAAGTTGGCAACACCCATGGACCAGAGATGGACATCGTGGAAATTTCTGGTACATTTTATAAGTGATGTAAATTTTAAAATGCTACCACACTGTAGGCTCATCTTGAAGTATTATAAATGATGTGTGGGAATGGAATTTTCTCTAATTCAAGATATATCTGTCAGAACTTAGCAAAAACTGAAGGAAACAAGTAGGACACATGAGAAAATAACCACCGAAATGGAATCAAACTCTGTTCAGGGAAGAGGTGGAGGACTTCTGCAGTACAGAAGGTACACAGCACTTTTCTTGGAGTTCCCCATGTTACAATACACATAATTAGAAAGTACATTTATAAATAATTATCATATCATGTTCATATTCATTTATAAATAATAATCATATCATGATAATAATCATATAACAGTTGTTTAATTCTGTCATCTAAAAAATTACAGGAAGCAATTTAATAACTGTTATAATAACTGCACAACAATCAAACTAAAACTGTCTGTCCCTGGAAGTGTGAATTCTCATTCAGAAACTGCTGGACAGTTTAATAGAGATCTTTGTCCTTTATACCTATTTTGTAATGAGCAGAGAACTATATCAATCTTTATAATCCTACCAAGTAATCAGAGCAAATGCACAGCTACGCAAGAATGAAGACAGGTAGATTAATGTCTTCTATTCATCACACTACTTGCTGTGACCTTCTCCACGGCCAAGGAAACCAAAGAAACTGTTACTGGAAATGGATAAAACCAAAATGTAAAGGTTTAAGCTCCAATTAAAGAGGAATTTTTGGTGATACCGCTGTTTTCAAACAACACAAACGTGATGCTACATATATGTGTTGTTACAGAAGATACTAGATTAGTTACGCACCAATTACCCATTAATAATGTTATCTGCAACCTTGAATCTGTCTTCCATTTCTGCTCCATTTTAAACTCCTAAACACTACTTGGCATGTGTAATAGCATATCGTAGCAGTTATCTGTGCTGGAATTGACAGCTGTCATTGTCCAGCGCTAAGCCTTACAACTTAATCAATCCACATTGTGTTACAGGGGAAGTGCGGTGACATCACAGGACCTTCTGTCAGTCCAGAGGCTGGCATTGAGCTCATCTAATAGTCTAGTTCAGACCTGGGCATTTTATGTCCCATGGGCTACATCTGGTCCTTGATTGTCCCTGTCCAACCCGTGGTCCGGACACAGACCAATCACCGACTTGTGCTCAGATATGGCTGGCTGACAGTGGATACTCCAGCCTGCAAGGCTGGTATATCCACTGCAAGCTATAGCCCAGTGCAGGTCCCCTCCTCTTCAGTCGTTAAAGTGATACAAGGTAAAATAATGGGGGTAGGGAAGTAGACTCTGCCATTTGTATTTTCAGGTTTTAGTGTATTTTGGAAGGCTCATAGTAAATGTAGCATCTCATAACAATTACAACACAAGTGCACTTTGAGAACATTTATACATTGTAGGTTCACATACCCTTCTTCAGCCTTATTGCAAGTGTCCCATTTGCCTGTTCCCACACTGATAACATGTTCACTGTGTTTTCTGCTCTTCCTGAGCACACATATTTCAATCTACATTTAATTCTATGGAAGGCTGTACACGGCAGGGATGCGCAGCCTTTCCATAGAAATGAGGACAAGAAGCAGAGCCTGGGAACACTGACTAGACAGTAAGCTCATGGACAGACCAGAGATGCAAGTGAGAAAAAAAGGTCATGTATGCTGGATCATATGTAGAAAAATTTGTCTGTAAAAAACACCATGCATAAAAGAAGCTAATAAATAAAGCTGACCCAGCACAATATAGTGTGCATTTTGTATAGCTTTTAAACTTCATATATTTATGAATTAATACACTCATATATTCGTAATCAAGATGGCTATGGCACACAGTAGAGTGGAGAAGCAAGTGCAGATACATTAACAACATGTGGTGACCAACAGAGGTATTGAGCTAGTCATGGCACTTTGCTGAATGAAAGCACCAAATGTCAACTATAATGTTTGTTAATGTGTGTGTGTGTGTGTGTGTGTGTGTATATCTATCTATCTATCTATATATATATATCTCACACATTTTGTGTTGTACAAATAAATAAGGGGTATGGAGGACCAGAGCTACGAGACAAGGCTACTAAATTTAAACATGTTCACATTGGAGGTGAGGAGATTAAGGGGGGATATGATCTCCATGTACAAAATGTTCAATGGTGGTAGCAACATTAGCGATAAACTGTTTAAAATTAACTCCATTACAAAAACTAGAGGCCACCACCTAAAATTGGTGGAAAAAAAATTCCAGCACAAGGGGGCGAAGGGGGTTCTTCACAGTTAGAGCGGTTAGGGTCCGGAACTCACTGCCACAGGCGGTGATTTCAGCAAATAATGTGGAATTGTTCAAGAAACTTTTGGACGATTTCTTAAGGGACCGTAATATACAGGGGTACAGGTACTCCTAGAATGAGATCCTAATAGGTTGGACTAGATGGACTAATGTCTTTATTCAACCTCAAATACTATGTAACTATACTATGTAACATTTAATTGACAAAGCACTATGGGTTAGCTGAAGAGACAGCACAGCAGAACTACTTGCTTTGTGGCCTAACTTGTCTCACTGAAACTGAGCTGTCTAATAAGGGAAGAGTCACTGCTGATGGGTCATTGCGCTGCAAAAATCAAAGAAGCAAGCAGAGAGCCTATAATAAATGAAAAGAAGCCTACATATTCATCCGCTGGGTCAAAGGCATAATAAAATATATTACAGCTCAACTACAGTTAATTCAGTTATTTTTTTTGTATCTTCCTGCATTTAAAGTTATTACTTTTCATGCCGCAGTAATGCTCCCTTTGTGTTTGCTCAGTCCTTACAGCTACTTATGTGCTGAAACTGCCCTTTAAAATGCTATATTACAGCATATTAATATGAAAAAACACCAAAGATTCCCTTTATATAACAATACAGGGACTATGCACAAGTAGTGGTGTGGTTGAGAGCAGACTGTTTTAACCCCATGTATATGTAAACCAGGCAGCATGGTACATTCTTCACTAAAAGGGTACAAGCAGAGAGGGAACCAATACATGTCATTTTGTGTACATTTCTATTTTTGTAGAATTTTATGTATTCACATTAATGTGTGTTCAATAGAATGTGTATAAAGAAGCAATAGTGGATTCTCATGAAACAGATTTATTAGGCTATAGTTAGACAAGACCTTTATCTATAATGGAATGAGAACAAATATACAAAATATGAGCCATCTCAGAGTAACATTGAAGTGTGAAATAAAGAGATAAGAGACAAGAATACTGATGTAACGTAGCTGCCAGAAAGATAATAAGAAAAGTATATTCCTGTGTGTCCCAAATGAGCAGAACAAAACAAAGAATACAGGACAATACATTGTGAAACCCTTTTCTTCTTTATATATGTCTCTGTCCATAGCTGGACATATGTGGGTAAATTCAATGAAACTAGAATCGGTGAGACAGAGCTACTTAGAGAAGTGAAAAAAAACTATTTCTGCAAGCTCTTATGTGTGGTCTCTAACTAGTCCTTGAACCAAGTTGTCTTAGTCTGGTCTGGTTGTTGCTGCCCTGTCAATAGCCATTTGGCCATATTTTAATTGGAGCAGGATGCCCAAGTCACAACACAATCATTGATTAAGGGGGTGGAACTTACACTTCTGTATTCTGTTTTATTATTCATAATACGATGGAGTGAAACCTTAGAGGTTAGATAATCTCTCTTCAGGAAACTCAAAACATTCACTTTATTTTCTACAACGGTAGATACCATCTTAAAACAAACCTCTTTTTGTTTTGGATAGAGTGGGGAAGGTTAAGGACCTCTGTTAGAATATATAGGTGAGGAGCACGGCACCAAAGGATCTACTGTCTGAAACTATTTATTCAAAAATAACAAGCCAATGCTTTTGGAGGTCCAGGCTGAAACAACATAGGCAATATAAAGTGTTAATTCACCTTTCTGAACATTTTCCAAGACATCTTCAATGCCTTCCATCATCACCATCACATTGCAAAGCACTGTTCAGATCTTAAAAAGCTGCCTCTTTCCCACTGCATACCTGTAGGTCCTGCACGAGCTATCGGCAAAAGTCTCTATTTGGTTGACCCATCCACCATCCTGGATAAACGGCAGGACAGGCTGGAAGTTAGAATTGTACCTCCAGATACCTACAGGTATGCAATGGGAAAGAAGCAGTTTTTTAACATCCAAACAGCGCTTTTCAATGTGCTGGAGATGATAGCAGGCAGAAAGGTGAACTAACCTTTTACAAAAGGTGCAAATAAAAATTTAGATAACTTAGAAATGGAAAGAATTTGAAAGAGTACTGTGAACAAATACTCACAATATGTCGTGCCGCAACCACTCCATCAACTATAGCACAGCAGAACGATGCTACAACTCCGAAACTGATAAATACAATGGCGGCTACTAACTAGAAGAAAAATAGGCTGGATCAGACAAAGCATGTTGAGGAAAACTTACTAACAAAGGCAGATGCATAGAACAAATACTCTTTCCATGTTGATATATGCGCCATGCAGGCACAATGGGGTAGATTTGCTAAAGGCAAATAGACTGTACATTTTGCAAGGGAATTTTCCCTTAGCCTAATGATTGTGGCAAAAACTTAATTTGCAAAGAATAACCAATTACTGTATTTCACTAGCAGTAAAAATGGTCACAATCATTTCAGGTAATATTGTCCTAGTGAGCAAATGGTATACAAGCAATGCATTTTGCAATAAAAAGGCTACTACTTTCCAAATCAAAGGTTTGGACCACAGTTCTGGTCCAATTTGCTCATGGCCTCCAATAATATTCCTCAATCAACCAGAGGTGTCCTTTGATTCCTTTTACCACTTACAGTGAAGATAGGGCCAAAACTGTGCAAGCAGGATGTACGCCGTTAAATGCATAGCAGTGCAATACAATAGTAGTATTTACTAGAAAGGTTGAAGTATGGTTGTGAAGAGTCGGCCAATCCACATGTCAGGAATGGTAATGCTGATCCTATAGAGTTTCTTTTCTATCAGTATAAGAATGTTTAACATGGTCTTTAAAGGGAGTACCATCTTTTGGCAAGGACCAACCTACATAGTGATACATGTCGACAGAAGTCATATGGTGGCCATTTTGAAGGAAGGTTATAATTCAAGCATAATTACCATGTTAGAGATAGATGTAAAGCAGAAAGGAATTCACTTTGGGGGAGCTGACATAACTGGGTCTTATTCCAGCAAGTGTAAATCACAGTTTGAATAAAAACTCTCTGTATATCCTTCACTCTAGTGTTCCTTTCACTACATACTTATTTTCTTTGTTGCATTTAATTAAACTAATGATACAAACCCCGCTATGATCAAAGGAAGGAGTGGAATCTTGCCTCACTCCCATGTCAGAGTATCCAAAAAATAAAACACAGATGCTTCTTCCAGAATTCCAGTGCCAGAGAAATATGACCTCTAATAGCTTCAATTTACCCAGTACTCTCCAGAAGCTGTTATTACATTAGAGATAACAATAAATGTTTGTTTTGAGGTTTTTTTCTCTGTTTTAACTGATTCATTGAATTCAATTTGCTGTTATATTTGTAAATGTGAAAGGATGTCTAACTGAATAAAATGAACTAAATCAATTACAATGAAACAAAATACACCAGGAAGAAAAATAAAAATGTTTTGAAATGCCTTAAAACTATGTACCCTTTTTTCCAATAAATAAACAATGTTTTTGTTTTTTGCTCTGCTATTGACATAACAGTTACATGAATGTTTATTGTAAAGAAGGCAGCTATGGCTACAAAATACTAACAACCCTGATGTTCTAGCTACAGGCTGACTATCAGCCAAATTATGTAATTTTTAGAATAAATAGTAAATAATATAAATTAGGGATGCACTGAAATATTTCAGCCAAAAATGGTACTTTGGGCAAAATCCTGAAAGTTCCATAACGGCCGAAAATGTGGCCAAAAATGTAGTGCATCCTGACAGTTTCTGTCCTCGCAGCTGGACGCCGCTGTTCTCTCCCACCTGTGTCGGCAGAGGCAGCGGGAATCTGAGGGGACACAGATCGGCATCCAGCAGGTAGGAGAGAAGCTTTCAGGATGCTGAGCAGGTCACTGCAGGGAGGAGACAGCTATCACAAGTAGAGCTCTCCTCCCACACCGCCCTGCTCAGCCTCCTGTGACAGGCCAATCAGGATGGAGAGCGGGGCAGTGCAGGGAGGAGTTCGCTGTTAGCTGTCACAGAAGGCCAAGCTCTCCTCCTGCATCGCCCCACTCAGTCTCCTGTGACAGACGGAGCAGTCAGGATGGAAAGCGTGTTACAAGTACTCAGCGATCAGAACTGATCGCTGAGTGTTTGTACATAACTGAGGACGCAGTATGCTTAGTGTGTCCCTAGTTATGAATGAACAGGAAGTGCTTTGCATCACTTCCTGTTCATTCATGATTGTGGACATAGTAACTAATACTATCTCCTCAATTTATGAATGGACAGGAGCACTCAGTATAGACATTTCCTGTTTATTTATAACTGGGGCTGCAGAAAAAGACATTGAGGACACTGTGTCTTCAATGTCTTTTTCTATTTTAAAAGGGAAATATCAGGGGTCTGTTTCAACCCCTAATATTTCCCCAGAGCCCCCGACAATAAAGTTAAAAAAAAATACATTTTTACATACCTAGTATAAATAGTAAATAAGTGACATATGTATGGGAAGCATCTGTTCCTTTACTTTCTGTTATCTCCTTCAACATACTTAGTCATATTGAAGAATTAGGTTGTATGGTGAATGCTATACTATGCAACTTCTGTGCCCAGTGCAAGACCTATTAATGTAGCATTAGTGCAAACTATTTAGACTATACAAAGATGACCCCATGCACGCCGTTCTACAGAAGTCTAAGCTCCAGTCAAGTCAGGTGGCTGATCTTAACATCTATACAATCATGATGCTGCCTCCCTTCCTCCACCAAGTATAGTGCTACAGAGAAAATTAATATACTAGCTATAGTACTTTGAAAGTAGTTATTAGGTTTTATTCATTTGTTTCATTATTTGCAATACAAAACCTCTTAAAACCCTGGTGCCCAACACATGGCCCACGGGCTCCTTACGTGTGGCCAACCATGGTCTGGACAGGGTCTACCACCTGTTGGACACCTGTGAACTTTGCAATGCTGCAGTGGGATGCTCAGCCCTGAGGGCAGATGAGACATTAGAAGTCTAATAGGCCCCTGATGTCTCCACAAAGGGTACCTGTCAACTGCCCAGTGCTATCACATAGGGGGCCTGTTAGCACACATGTGATAGCAATAAAGTTTAAAAAAAAGTGTTAATACGTTTTAATAATAATAAAATAAATAAAATTAACAAAAATGTAAAAGCATCTCCAGCACCTCAAACACACGTGTGCAAATGCACATGTAGGCCACACACATGTATGTAAACAATGATTGTGCAACATATATTGGGTAATCACTGGCAGGCCAGATTGAGAGAAGTAGTTTTAGGCCCCTTATTTAAGGTAACTCTAAACTGATAAGCTGTAAAGACTTTTAAAGTGTTGTCTATTGTCAGGTGCCATCATTTTTCACCGTTTGGGGCTCCACAGTTTTGAGGCTTGACATGTTTAGTATCTATTTACTCAGCACAATCTCTTCTTTTGTACAAACAAATGAGGAATAAACTGTTTTTGTATGCACACAAATTAATGGATAAACAGTTGTGCAAATATTGTATCAATATATACAAATATTATATAAAATTATAACTATCTTTATATTCTACAGGGCCTCAGCTTTCAGAAAATATATAATTTTGTGGGGATCTTAAGTAATAGTTTAACCAAAATGCAGATTATAATGTGTGTGGAAAATAAATACAAATGCTCTGGAGGTGAAGTGGGTAAAATGCAGGACAATTCTAATTTTGTTTGAACCCCCATAATATATATGAAGCCCGTGCATTATTCAGCTTTCTGTTTTTTTCTGAAATATTTTAGGGTGGATTTACAATTTATAAGTATATCTAAAACCCAAGAATAAAATTGTAATTTATTGCAGCTTACCAGTCGTTAGATATGGTGTCTGCATTAGATACGTTTTTTAAGCTTTGTTCCTTTACTTCCTCCCAGTACTGCACTTCATATCCTAGGGTGACAACACTCACTCACTGTATTGTATCTATGGAGAAGCAGCGTTGTCATCTTATAACAGGAAGTGTAATAGGACAATTTCCCCTCTCCTCATTTCCATCATAGGGCAAAGGTGTTCTGCAGTCTCAGAGAACTCGGGCAGGGTTGATATCAATGTCTGTGATTTCAGTGCAGCATTATCAGCTCACTACAGGAATTTAGCAACTCACAGGGTTTCTGACAGGATTAACAGATATATTTTTGCACTTGTCAAACCGTGTACATTTAACAAACCAAAAGGAAGCAAATAAGAATTTATTGTTAAAAGAGAACTATGGGGTAAGTTCTCTTAAGGGTCACGGGAGGACATATACTAGCGTCCTCCCGTGACCCAAAGCTCAGTATATTGCAAGCTACAGCTTGCGGTATACTGAGACAGCCACAGCCGGGACAGATCCCGAAATTACTGTCGAGATCCACCCAGCTGCCTGAGTGACAGCTGGCTCTGCCTATCTATAGGCAGAACCAGCTGTACCCACCCCCTTTGCCGTCCATTCCTCCAGTCAGCGCTGGAGGATCGGAGCGGGTAGGGGGAATCCCTGCAGAGAGCCATGACTGACAGTCACGGCTCTCTGCAGGGACATGATCAAGAAGTGAGCCAGCGACGGTATGTGTTCGCTCACTTCCCGATCTATTGAGCCGACGTGTGACAGTTTCATTGTCACACATCGGCTCGAACTATGAGGATGAGTGAAAATCACTCACCTCATAGTTCTCCTTTAAGGTTTACATACACTTTATTACCATAAAGGAAGTAATAACATCGTTATCTTTGTGTGTAGGCATTGGGCAGCCTCTGATAGGAAACGTCTCAAAGTACATACCATTTGTTTTCGGTTTTCTACCATATGAATTCCAATAATACCTAGGAAAGATCCAAAGCCAAGCTGAGACCAAAGAAAAAAGAAAATATTAGAAATCTGAAAAAGTCAACTTGGGTATAGATTACATAAATTACATTATACCTTTTAGCATTGTTATTAACTTACTAGCCACAGCATAAGTAGCCACATTCCCTGTATCCCAGGCTCAGGGCAAGGATATGCCTAAACTCAAAAATTTTACACTCTCTGATGATCCCCAAGTGCTAATCTTGTGTAAGGTAACACGTTACATGATTCACTCATGATCACCACAGTGTCCCAGATTGTTAAGAGCCCTTAGCAACCTGTAACGCTCTGTCTGGCTTCCCACCCAGCTCACAGACATCATCGATTGCCAGGGAGCTGAGTGGGATGCTCTGGCTGGCGTCCTGCTGAGCTCCTGTGAACTTCTGTGAAATTTTTGCTGCTGCCTGTGTTCTGTTAAGGAGATTCCCTCCTTTTCTGTGGCAACCTATTCATTTCAATGGGCTGCCCCAATGCAATGCGCATTAACGCTGCCCCATAGTGCAAGTTAATGGACCACCAAGAAGTAAATGGGCCCTAAATGCATCATCTGTACATAACAGATATTGAGAGGATCCGTCCGTTCCGCCAGTCAGCGCTGGCAGATCGGAGCGGGGAGAGGGGAATCCAGCCCCTCCCCCTGTCACGGCAGAGAGCCGTGACAGGATCGAGAGGTGACCGAACCCAGTATGTGTTCACTCACCTCCCGATCTAGTGAGCCGACCTGTGACAGTCTCATTGTCACAGGTCGGCTAGAACTACTGTGGAAATCACTCATCTCATAGTTCTCCTTTAACTGAACAAGCTGGTTGCCATACACAGCTGCTCCATATTTTGTCTGCTCCAGTTTTGATAAATTCCCCTCATTGGGGGGATTTATATAAACTGGAGCAGAGAGTTTTCTTATGGCAATCAGCTTCTTGCTTTAGTTTGTTCAGTTACGCTTTGAAAATGAAACAGAGAAGCTGATTGGTTGCAATGGGCAATTACTCCAGATTTTGTCTGCTCCATTTTTAATGAAATCCCCCATTACGCCTATTTCTTTGCAGTCAAACTGAAAACTATGAAAATAAACAGTATTTGTGAAGCAGTAGCATTTATAATATGAAATTGAGAAGTAGAACTTACAATGATCCCTGGGTAGTAACCTCCAACTGTTATGTTCTCTGTCCTTGTGGTTGCAGTAAGGCCAATTACCAGTATAAAAATTGATACAGTAAGAAGAGCGATGGTAAACCACAGGGAAGTCTTCTTTCTTTTAGCAAAGTGGCCTACAATTTAATTTGAGTTAGAATTACAGTACGTTATTAAAAATAAAAAAACACAAATACATATCCACCTCATGACAAAGGTTTGGCTTGAGCTGTAACTCAATATGTATTAATTAAGGCAAAATGCAGAATTAACTAATAAGAAGTCATCTTTAACTGATCAGACCGCAGTAAACTGCCACCATATTGGCTGTGCACACTATCTTTGCTATTAAAAACTTCCTTTAAGTGTAACTATGATTAAAATAAAAAATGACATATATGATGTGGTCTGTCACTAGCATCAACACAGCAGTTTTTGTTTTTCTGCCTGCCTGTAACATAGTTTTATTATGTGTTGATCCTTCCAGTTGATCCGGTATTTTTCCACTTCCTTTAGTAGAGTGACACCGCTGTTTGTTCTGCAGTAAAATAGCACATCAGTGTTAGGCTTAGATGGATATGTACAGGGCTATTAACAAAGCTGCCGAAGGCAGCCGAGTGATTAACCCAGCCAAAGTGAAGTGAGCCAAGCGCTGTTCGGCTATTCACTCCTGGCTTGTATGGCTGATTTCAGTCATACATCGGCTAAAATTAGCCGTACATTGGCTGCCTTCTCCGGCAGTTCACTCACTGCCATTTGGCCCCTATGAGGGGCATTCGGCTCGGCTATTCTGCTCGGTACCGAGCAGAATAGAAAAGAAGTGAAAAAGAATGAGAAAAAAATAAAAAGTTGCAAAATTATTTTACAAATTATAAAAAATAGGAAAAATTTAAATAATTTAAGGAAAATAAAAATAAATTAGTGACAGCTAGCTCCGACCAACTGTTTCCTTTTGGCCGACACCTGCCAGAGTCTTCTAGCAGGTCCCGGCCAATTAATAACAACTGGGTGGAGCCGGCTGTTACATCACAGCCGGCTCCGCCTAGTTGTTATTGTTTCATGACGGATCAGCATCCCCAGGTCGTTTAGGGATTCTGATCTGTCAGACTCCATCATATATGTCATTTTTTATGCTGTGTTAACGTTATCATCAGACTCCATCATATATGTCATTTTTTTATGTTGTGTTATTGTTATTAACATTATTATTTCATAATTCCCTCATATATGTAATTTATTATACTGTGTTAACATTTTTATAAGACTATTTATTACAGGTATTTATATAGCACTGACAATTTACACAGCACTTTACATTCACATCAGTCCTTCAAGGAGCTTACAACCTATAGTCCCTATCTCACATAGATACATACAGGGACAATTTAGACAAGATCCAATTAACCTACCAGCATGTCTATGGAGTGTGGGAGAAACCCAAGCAAGCACAGGGAGAACATGCAAACTCCTTGCATATGGTGTCCTGACTGGGATTTGAGTTGGGGACCCCCAAGGCAGAAGTGCTTACCAATTCATGCATTCTTTTTTTTAAATACCATTTTACTGTTGGTGACATTATCAGCTTCTTTGGAAAAAAAAAGGCTGTTCCCTGGCTCCTGGCTGGAGGATTTATGCTGTTGCCACATGTCACATGAGCAACGGGAGAGAGTACTACATTTTCCATGATTTCAAGGCAAATGCATGACATTAGCAGACGTATTACACAGATGGAGCTCAGGGCTGTCTCATGATTACATGAAATTGCCCACATAGCCAGCCGTGCAGTTACAGTGGGAAGTTCAGACCAGGAATCTGAAACTCCAGGTCCTTCCACTACAGCAAGTGGCCACATAATTATGTCACCGCTCACTGTATTAAGAACTACATTGGGGATATTTCAAGACCGATGGCCAGGGAAATAGTGGGCATAGTCGTCAGGTCACCAGTTTTATTGCATGGATATTATGGAGACAGAGGCCTTTTCCTTAATGAAAGAAGTCTTGATTTCTCAGTGAAAAGCTGGAAGAAATTATTAAATGGAAGGAAAGCACCTTTTCGCACATGTAATAAAGTTCTGCCCAAAGTTCAGCTTTAAGAGCAATGGGTAGCTCAAAGTAAACACATTAAAAGAACTTTAGGTTAAGGTGGCTTTCTTTTTTTTTTTTATAGACAAATAAACATGTTTTACATATGTTTTAAATAGCTACTATGTAATGACAAGTTTAAACATTACTGGTAATGCAATGGTGAGCAACTAAATACATATTCATCAAACTATTGTGATATTAGTCAGTGCTGTGTATTGTACATTGCATTGAAAAATGATGAAAACCCATGCTCCCAATTCTATTTTTCTTGACTTTAGAACATCTTAACACACATTTCTAAATTTCTGAAAACATAATTCTGGACTAAACTGTCAATTTGATTGTTATCCTTCCATCCTTTTTCAGACCCACCAATACTGCCTCCCTATTCCTTCATTCTTAAGCCTTATAGCGCACTAAACTGTAAATTTGATTGTTATCCTTTCATCCTTTTTCAGACCCATCAATACTGCTCCCTACTCCTTCATTCTTAAGCCTTATAGCCTCTTAAATCGCCCAGGTACTCTGGAATGTTGGTTAAGCATTATTCAAAACTGTGCAAATTGTCCTCAAACTTGGATCCAGTTGGATTTTTAGAGGATAAGTTTGGAATATTCTGACTGCTAAAAAGAATACAAATGAGATACCTTGAGAATCTTTATACATAGAGGTTGATTTACTAAAGGCAAATAGGCTGTTCACTTTTAAAAGGAAAAACTAATTTTGGTTGCACATGATTGGATATTGGAAGTCAACAGAGCTTCATCTCATTCACTAAGGTAAGGAAAAATCCCCTTGCAAAGTGAACAGTCTATTTGTCTTTAGTAAATCAACCCCCTAGAGTCAATGAACTAATCATTTTTACAGTTGTTTTAAATGTTACATTTTCTGTTAATATTGCCTGTATATAATCAAACTGGCAATAAACATTTTACCAGCCAAATGGGACTATTCATGCAGCTCAGAGGGCACAGATGATGTGCAATTTGTCATCGACACTTCACTTCAAGGGTATTAGACAACCGAAAGATAAGACAACTGCAAGATAAATTATTTTTTATGGCTTATAAGTTATGAACATCACTTTACACAGTGTCCTGAATAGACCCGATTGTGTGCTCGGTTAGTATATGTCTTTGGATCACTGCATGCATCCCTCATTATGACCATAAAATATCCAGCTACAAATACTAGAATGGTAATTCACACATCTGTTTTAGAACCAGAAATTTGAGGCAAAGGTCTAAATACATGTCTGATGAATTCTTAATTGTCACAGCTTTTCAAAATCAGTTTTTATATGATTACAAGCCACGGAAGAGTATGAAACACAGCAGAATGTTCCAAACCCAGTCATTAAAGAATTTGTAACATGTATAATGAGTACTTGTGGTGCTTGTAAATGATATAGTGAAGTAACTGTATAGCAGGAACACTAGTGACACCATTGTGTGCTAAATAAATCATTTATGGACTATCTGATCACTGGTTTTGGGTGGCAGTGTTCTTTTTCACCAGAAAACAGTCCTGTTTATTTTCCTAGCTAAACCAACTCAGAAGTTATAAAAGTTTGATTTACACTGAAGTAACACAGATCCTAAAAAGGCCTCTAATAACACTATCAGCATAGGAGAGCATGTCAGCATTTGATAGTTTGTGTTGACGTCATAGCAAATTAATTATAACCAAATAACATTAATTTCACAACTGCATAACATAAAAATAAATATGCCATATTTTATGATCTGTCAATACATCTTAATAACATTTACAGATGATGTTTGGAATGCAAGGTATGTAGATTGGATATAAGCATGTTTCTGTTTTTGGGGCTGATTATTATAACCTACCTAGTGAATGTTTGGTTCAGCAATAACGATACAATCTGTATACAACACATTATATCACCAGGGACAACCACTTTACTAGGCACATGTAATGCATTTGCCACCATTGGATGTCTCTGTTGCAGTTTGAGCATACTGTAAGTTAATTAATTTTACAACATTGCGGAAAACAAGGCTAGAAATATACTATGTGTCATTTCTACAGCATCATTTTATCTACTTCAAACTAAAGCAAAATAATCACAATTACACCGAGACAAGAATAAAACTGTACAGAATTATTTGCACACACAGAGCAAAAAGATCTGCACAGAAAAAGTAACATGTTCAAACTGCGTTAGTAGGAGACCATAGATGAAATTTACCTGTGGCATCGATCACAGACGTAGAGGCAGAGGCAGAGGCTGGCTGCATCTTGCCAGAGATATACACTGGAAGTGATCACATTAACATCAACCTTCAGTCTTCCTCTCTATCTGTCCCTCCTAGACTACAAAACAACCAGTCCTGCACAATGTACAGACACGGTCTGCCATTGGATTATGTTGCCTTTCTCAATGTGACCTGCTGGGCAGACAGGTGTGATATGTTACTGAGAGTGATGCTTGCTTCTCCAATTACTGTCCTTCTTAACCATACAGCTCCCTCTCCACTTCAATTCTTTACATTTAAATTGAAATTCTCTTGAGGTACGCAATATTTGATTACAGATTTCAGACACATTAAACAGGGTTCTGTCTGACTGCTTTAGAAACAATGTTAAACAAAGGAAAGTTATAATGTAGACCTCATAATTATATTGAAGTTATTATGTTATATTGTATTGTTGTTTCTCACATCAACATCAATTTACTAAGCTGTATGAATTATTTTAATGGTATTTCTAATTTATTTAGTGAGAATTGTCTCATGAAAATGTTCCGTTTACATGCCTTAAAGTAATATTATTGTCAAAATGTTTTTAAGCTATTTGGAATGGTGATTAAATTACAATGGGTGCTGCTCCCTGATATTGAAAAGTTTTAGTTTCCTGCAGAATCAGCTGGTCCCCTGAGCACTTCCCTGATTTCCTGTTTTAGGGCTGCTCCTTTCCCTTACAGGGTCTTATGAAGCCACCCTTGTGTGTGCTAGTAAGCTGTGAGTATCTCCACAAATACACAGGCACAGAAAAGACAACTACTTCCCACCTCCCTGCTCCTCCCTTCTTCAAGCTTACTAGATTGCACTGCTGCTGCTGCTGGAGACTGTTCCTTGTCCCTTGTGATCTTGTACTAAACATGAACATTCAGGGAAGCTGAGCTGAGAGAGTTGGAGCTCTTTGGAAATATAACTGTAAGTGCTTGGGCTAAAATGTAAATAAATATTTTGCTGGACAATGTATAATTGTTTGATCTGGATTCATTATTGAAAAAGGTACATATATGTGTGCAGACATTATTTCTTTGTACAAATTCGTTATTTCAACTATTACCTAACCATTATAAGTATTTATCTTTTCTTTTTAATTGTTATTTCATCTCTGTTTGGGCTGGCTCCATTGTCTACTCAGGGAACCCAACAATTACCATCAGAAGCTATCAATATTTTAAGGAACAAAAAATGTGCAATAATTTGTGAATTCACTTTCAATCACATATATCCAACAAACTTATGATATAACAAGAAATAATAACCAATGGTGTAAAGAAACTTGACCCATGTCATAAATTCTTTTTTTGAATTGAAAATATAATTTTCATAATATTCATATACTGTATGTCTGCATGTAAAAACCTGACTAGAGAGGTAAATTACACCTGACACTGCAACATAATTTAAAGTGACATTAAACTCAGAAGTTAAATCTTAAAAAAGCAATCAAGTATTTTAACTATTAGAAAAAAAATACCTTAATTGAGCATCACTCAGCTGTAGATTCTCCAATCATCTCTGAATTGGTGCCGACACTGTCCTTCCTTCTGGAGGATGGTTACGTTTGTTCCCCATGGTCCCTGTGTGTGTTGTAAAGTAGCCACCACTCCAAGCTCACTCATGTCATGGACTACGATCTCACGTTTAGTTTACTAATTGGTATTGAGATTGTAGTCTATCATGGGAGTGAGAGTGGAGTGGTGGCTACTTTACAACATGCACAGGGACCCTGGGGAACAGAAGTAGTAACCCTCCAGAGGAAAGGACAATGTCAGCACCAATTCAGAGATGATTTGAGAATCTACAGCTGAGTGATGCTCAAGTAAGATACATTTGTGCTAATAATTAAGGTACTTGATTGCTTTTACTGTCACATTAATTTAAGTTGCAGTGTCAGGCATAATTGACCTCTTTGTTAGGTCTTTGCATGCAGACATGTATGAATATTATGAAAATTATATTTTAAATTCACAAAAAAAATTGGCATGGGCCAAGTTTCTTTACATCATTTGCATTTTTAAAATGTAACTCCTAAGTTTAATGTTATCCTAATTAAAGGTGGTAATTATCTGCCACTAGACGGATGTCTTCATGTAACAGGCTGCACATGTCCACAAATGCATATTGAAATAAATTGGAGGATTGCAATTCACTTGCAAAGTACCTGACCTATCTGACTTATAGCATACTGCGGACTGATTTGCTCATCTGCCATTCCCATTTGTGATTTAGGGTGTGTATTCAAAACAAGAGTCACAATTCTTGCTTGTTGTAGTTGGTGTACTGCTGTTTCTGTAGACAATCCCCTTGTTGAAATTGAACTTGTCTCCTGTAACCTCTTAAAGCTGTGCATGGATGGGTGAGCAGCAGCAGGTGCGTAAAATCTAAAAGTCATATTCTAGAGTCTGGACCAAATTATGGCTATTGTTTTTTTTGAGCAGTTCCAAGCACATAAAAAGAAATATGTGAAAACAACAATAAAAAAGGAAAGAGAAGGACAAAGGGAAAAATAACTAGATGTTGGTGCTGACCAATTTTTAAAAGAATGCCATGGTTGTCGAAGGGAAAAATAGGTGATGGAAAATTATTACTGTACCACCTAGAAATGCCTTTGTAACAAGCTTCCTGATACCTATTGCTGACTGAGATCTGCGTGAGAAGAAACGTGTCATCTCTTGCTGTTGAGGCATGAAGGTGCTAGGGTCATTGTTCTATTTTTATTATATATAGGAATGAATGTCTCCTCAGGTGTAAATAGCAGTGTGCCTGGCATGTCTTGATTTAAAAACGGATAGTCGGGAATGTAAAAAAAACTTACAAATGTAAGGAATTATGACAAATATGCAGCTGAATGGCAATTCAAAAGCCAATATGGGGGGCGATCACGTTAGAAATAGAGAAACTTAATGTTAACTTATCCTAAAGAGTTAATGAAGAAAGGTAAAGTTAAATTTTTTCTCTAAAGCCAGGCACTAAATGATTTACATTCACAGTGCAGGGAAAGGTATTGCCAGAGCATGGTAAAAATTCATCTTTACTGTTGACAGCAGCAGATGTTGCCAAGGTGTAAAGCCTGAGGCATCCCTGGTCTTATCAACTGACTGCCATGAAGCAGGCTGGCACTTGGCCGTGTGGCAGCTTTCAGACTGGGGCCCTCAGCATTTCCTCAAAGTGAAAGGACCAGGCAAAGTATCACATGGCAGCCAAGTGTATTCAATGTGCTACTTGAAAGTAGACAATAAGAACATGTTTTGGGGCACATTTCCTCCCCCGGCTGCTTCCTGAGAGCACACTGCCCACCTCCCCAACCCTGGTGACACACCTGCACTTGCAAGAGAATGCACAGGACAGCTGAGACCCTGGAGACATCAGAGCGCCACCCTGGAACAGCACAGAGTAGGTAGCTTCATATTATTTTGTATTGCTGTATAATATATTGCTGGGATTTGTAGTCATCTATAGCCAGTCTCCTTGCTCCCTCCCCTGGCTGTCTCTTCTTGCTTTCTCCTGGCTGCCTCTCCTCGCTCTCTCTCAATATTTTCCCAAACAAAAATTGCCGCACACAGCACTAGAGTGTTCTAGTTTCACTTGAAGAAAAGGCAGCAACCCTATTCTAAAATAATATTATATGCCAAGATTCATTCAAATGTATTGATTGGTATGAGGTCATGGGTATGAGTACACTTTAAGAAATATTGTTCATTGTGAGACTTTAGATAGTTGCCTTGTCTATAGCTCTTTGCCGTCTTGCTGGAACACCCATGCAAATGATAGGTCTGCTAATCATAAACAACCATGAAGACATATTATGAGCACCCTGTAGTCTCTGCTATATCCTGTATTTGACAAATATTCTATTTTTGAGCATCTGGTCAGAGCAGACAGTGAAAATTACTTGAATTTAATTGGGAAACTATTGAGAAAGTAATGAAATTACTGGCTCCACAAGGAACATTATTCTTGAGAATATTTCTGCTGGGAGTTTATAAAATCCATTAAAAGGTGTACTTTTTCTTTGCCAATGTGGCTGCTTAACATGAAGTCTCCAATGTCCCAAAATACATATATACAATTTACTATACCCAGTGCTTAAAGTGGATTTAAAGCTTTACTTAATGACCTTTCATTTGCTCAGATACTGTGAATTATAAATAAAATGCTAATTTCTTTCAACCCTGCTCCTTTCACACTATGGGGGTTGATTTATAAACAGTTAGCAGGACCAAATATCTGTAAACATTTGTCTGTGTGAATATATGCAAAAACAAATGTTCTTTGGGTTTTTTTGCCTTTACAAGTGTAATTTAATTTGAATGTTCTGATTGTAATATTGCATTATGATCACTAGATGGAACTGAGCAGTATAGAAAATAAATACTTTTTTTTCTCCATTAGAGCCATCTAGTTGCCATAATGTGATATTACAATCAGGACACTTGTGAAGGGAAAATCTAACGTTTGTTTGTGAAAATATTTGCACAGGAGGAATGTTTACAGATATTTGTGGGGCAAATAGCCATGCAAATTGTTTATAAATCAACCCTTATGTCTTCTTCCAATCCCCCACCTCAATTCACACTCTACCTTACACCAGTGCTGTGTTCATAATACAGGCAAAAGGGGCAGCTGCCCCGGGCCCTGCATGGGGACCTCCACTCCAGTGCCCAATCTAGGCCCTGAGAGCCCTGCCACTGCACCAGTCCTGGTCTATTGCAGCACCTGGCTCCATTTCTATGTCTGTACTATTAAGGTCATGTAAAGGGGGGGGGGGGGGGCCCAAATG